TTCCTGAAAATACGTTTTGACTCTAGTTTTGACGGTACATGAATTAAATTTTCTCCGTTCAAGTGTTTCAAGAAATTTAAAATATTTAAAATACACCTTGACTGCAATTTTGGCGGTATTTAAGTGTTTCAAGAGATTTACAATCCTTAAAATATATTGTGACTCCAATTTTAACGGTACATGAATTGCATTTTTTTCATTAAAGTGTTTTAAGAGATTTGCAATCGTTAAAATACATTTTGATTCTAATTTTGACTTTATCTAATTACATTTTTTCCATTCAAGTGACGTCTTCTGACTTTTCCAAAGTTACTCTAGTTTAAAAATTGGCTATTTTTAATTATTTTTTAAAAAACTTTTTTAGATTTATAAAATAAGTAATTTATAATTATTTTTCCACTAGGAAATTTGCTGACGCTTCACGCGGTCATAAATAATTGCGTCAAACTTGATAATAATTCTCTACTAATATTCATATATTTGTCACCGTAATTTTTTATGAACATCTGCCACGACCTTATTAATGACGTGAGTTGTTTCCGAGGGGAAAACAAACACATTTTCAAGTTCAAAAGAGCCCAAAGCGGGAAAAATCAAATTTATTGGACTTTCATTTTGTAGTTCATGGAATTTTAGTGATACATAATTAATATCGACTTGTTTTTGTCCAAAATTATTCATGGGTGTCTGTTACGACCTTATAAATGGCGTGAGTTGGTCTCGAGAGGCACCAATGCATTTTTAAATTCAAACGAGTTTCAATGTAGGAAAATTAAATTTATTGATTTTCATGTGTTACAGTTCATGGATTTTCAGTTATATGTAATGCAGAGTTGTTTTTGGACAAAATTTTTCATGAAGTCCATAACAACTTTATTAATGGCACGTAGTCGCATTTTCAAGTTCAAACGAGTCCCAATGTAAGAAAAATATAATTCACCAATTTTCATGTGTTATAGTCCATGAATTTTTTGTGATATGTAATCTCGAGTTTTTTTGACGAAATTTTTCATGGAAATCTGTAACGACTTTATTAATGGCGTGAGTTGGTCCCGAGGGGCACATAGAAGCATTTTCAACTTTAAACGAGCTCCAACATAGAAAAAAATTAAATTTACCAATTTCATGTGTTATATTTTATGAATTTTTGGTGATACGTAATACCGACTTGTTTTTGACCAATTTTTTTTTCATGAAAATCAATTACTATCTTATTAATATCATGAGTTGGTCTTGAGGGGAAAATGAACACATTATAAAATGAGCCCCAATGGGGAATAAACTAAATTTATCAATTTTCGTGTGCTATAGTCTATGGATTTTTGGTGAAACGTGATCCCAATTTATTTTTCAGCGTAATTTTTCATGGACATCTGTTATGACCTTATTAATGGCGTGAATTGGTTCAAGGGAAATCAAACAGATTTTCAAGTTTAAACGAGCCTGAAAGCAGGAAAAACTAAATTTACCATTTTTGTGTGCTATAGTCCATGGATTTTCGGTGATATATCATCCCTGCTTATTTTTTGCCAAAATTTTTATGGACGTCCATTACAACCTTATTAATGGCGTGATTTGGTCTCGAGGAGCAAAAAGACGCATTTTCAAGTTCAAACGAGCTTCAATACAGGAAAAACTAAATATGCCAATTTTCGTGTGTTACATTCCATAGATTTTTGATGATACATGATTCCGACTTGTTTGTTTCCAAATTTTTTACATAAATGTCTGTTACGGCCTTATTAATGGCGCGAGTGGGTCTCGAGGGTGCAACAAACACCTTAAAGCATATGTTCGAGCACACCAGCGTTTAGGATCATTGTTACTTAGGTAAGTTTTCTTTTTTCGCTCTGCCCCTGATTTTGAAATCTGAATTATCCGTATTTGTTTACAGTTTAGGACAGGTTGAAAAATGCAAGGAAGTGTTTATTTTCGCTAAATCAGACACCAGACGAAGCGGAGTTGCACAAGTTGGAAACAGTGGAGAACCAGATCAAATAACACTCTTGGAAAGCGAAAGAAATTAGATAGTTCTGTGGGTGATACGACACTTTAAAAGTTAAGAGGTGTTTTTATGCAAATACGAGACAACTTTGATGGTATCTTATATGTCTTTTCTCTAACCAAACCGATCATGAATATCTGCAGGTTTGATAATGCCTGTGCTGCAATTGAAAGAGCTGCACAAGTTCCGGGGCTGCGATTGGATTTCCTGCATCAGTCAGTATGTTAACTCAACAACTACTGTAGGTGCATCTGTGGTCTATTTTGATGAATTATCCAACTACGGATACCTTGAGCGCCAAATGTCGTTCAGTAATTTTTCTCAAGGTAAACGATCATAGGCAACGCGTCGTGCTTTTCAGGCAGACGGGAACACCTAGACTCTAAGCCGCTATTATATTTCTTACAATGCACAACAGGGGAAATGAAGAAAACTCGTACTAATTTTATCTGTTTTCTACTGAAAACGGAGCCCAGCAATCGCTACAGCAGAGAAAATTACATCAAATAAGAAACAATCACGATGCACGATCATTTTACTTTCGAGTTTCAACAATTAATTTAACAGTAAATCGGTCATACATTCACGATCTAATATCCACATCAGAGTACATAACATAAAATCTACATGTAAAGCACACTGCGTCGCTGTTCTTTAAGTACACAATCAAGAATCAATATGAATATGACATTTAACAAACTTCACGAAATCAACTCCAATGAAAATACAAACAAGTCCTAGCTTCAAACTTAAACATTTTTCGCATAATCTGGTAAGATAGAAATTATAGCAATAACATAAACATGTGCATCGCGATACTCATTTTCAATTATAAGACGACACACATGTACATTATAAATGTTTTCAGCTGTATGCAGAGTCAAATTACTCCACTCATGCTTAGATGATCACGATAAAAAAATTGCGAAAGAAACTCCAGAGAAAAGAGAAAATAAATAACTGAATTCGATTATACAACGGATAATACAAAATTCAAAATCTGGTGCCTTTGAATTTGAAGACATTATATAAAATACAGATGAATATTCAAGCAACCATAAGAGAATTCCTCTGAATTTTCATACTAATCTCCAGGGAAATCTCTGTGTAATTAACATTTTTCTTATAGCGAAGATTGTACTAAGGGCACACAAAAGTAACCTCTTTGTTTTCACAAAGATAGAAATAATGTTGTATATACGCCATTTTTGTCAAAATTTATTTATGAGATTTCACGGGATAAATTGTTATTGTTATTGTAATTTATTACTCTCTCATTTTAAAAAGAATAATCTTCCTTCGTTTTATCCTGTTTAATAAAAATGCTCCTTTCCCTTTTAATAATATTTTAGTTTCAACTTTTCACGTGGCATGTTTAATATCACGAAATTAAAAAAATATTTTGATATATTTGACGTAACTTAAATTTAGCACCAAAAAATTTAAAAATCTTCTTTATTTTTTTTTTATATATCATACCAAATCAAACTAAATCATTTTTTAAAAAAAGGAGAAGCAAACAACAATTATAAAGTTGAGGACAAAGTGAGTATGTAGCAAGACAAGTGAATAGGTGAAAAATGACGACTTTTATTGATAGAACGCTTATTCAGCTATATATTGCTGTAAAATCAAAGAAGTCGGAAAAGAAATGAATGAATGAACGAATGTATACTAGACTTTCCCTCTGAGAAGCAGAATGAAATGTCAACTATGCTCCTAATCAAACACTCCAACACCTCTCTCGATTTGGGACAAGCGATACCATCACGAGTCTGTCATACTTGTACATCTTAAATGTAGGTAGTGTTTTAATGTTCTCTGCTGCAGCGATTGCTGGGCTTTGTTCCACGTCCACCTTCCGTATAGAAAAAAAATATACATTACTATGATTTTTTTTTTAATTCATTCCTATACGCGTTGCCTATGATTGTTTACCTTGAGGAAAGCTTACTGAACTATATTTGATGCTTAACGTATCCATTACTAAGGACATCTGCTCGCATTGTTCGTTGGATGCTTCTTTAAGAAGGATCGCAGATGTAGCTTGAGTAGAGTTGTATAGTAAAAATGATATAACGGAGATTAAGATATTAGCTATGCAGGAAAGTCTACCGTATAATGTAATTGCAGCGCGGAACTTGTCAAGATCCAAAACCTTGCCAACAAATGTCCTATTTTGAACATCTTCTCCTCGTGACTTGTTTGATTCGATTCGGGAATGGAATAAAAAATCAGCAACCTCTCTGTCATGTGGAAGTTCCTGCTGCAGAATCTCATAATCTCTCACAGCATCAGCCCATCTTTCCAGCTAGGGAAGAGGGTCTGATAGACCCCTCAACTTTGTCATTTGGAGCTGATATACCCCTCGTTATAAAAGTGGCTCATATATGTCCTTACCGTTATACAAACGGCTCACATATACCCCTATTGTTACAAAATGGCTCACATATGCCCTTCATTTAACGGAAGTTAAAAAATTAGTTTTAAATTTATATTTGTTACTTCTAATTTTTTTTAAAAAAATTATTTAGGCCGTATATATGATTCTTCTATCAAAGTTCAAGGTATATTTTAATTTTTTTCATACATAAATTATTTTTTGACTTCTTTTATTATAATTATTTGAGTTTCTTATTTTTATTTTGTTTTTTTTCTTTCATTCCTTAGTTTAAAGAAAAAAAACTTAAACTATTTTTTTCTGTGTATTGTAATTAAATTTCGTATTTGAAGAAAAAATTTGGTCATCTACAATAAGTTTTACAAGAATATCAGTGAAAAATAAATAAATTTGATTATCAAAATAATAATTATAAATTATTCATTGAAATAAAAAAAAGTCAAAAAACTTATGTTTGACTAGGATTAAATTTACTTATATGGGATTATATTTTTTAGAAAAAAAAATAAAAATTTAGATTAAAATTATTATTTTTTTAATTTCCGTTAGAGAGGATTAGGGTATATGTGAGTCATTTGTCTACAAGTAGGGGTATATATGAGCCACTTTTATAACGAGGGGTATATCAGCTCTAAATGACAAAGTTGAGGGGTATATCAGACCCTTTTCCTTTCCAGCTATAATCCATTGCATATATACGATCAAATTTTATGATTTTCGTAGTAAGATTTAAAGGTGGAATGTCCGTCGATCACCTTGACATTTGATGCAGCTTTTCGAGAAAGAGAGCATGATTGCGATCATCCAAAGATTTTTCCCACTGTTTAAGTTTATACTAGCAAGCTGCTTCTATCGCAGTAGAGAATCGAATTCAAAGAATCACGAGACAGCCCGTCCCCATAAGCACTACAAGCTTCTATACATTGAAGATCAATTTGTGCATCTCTTTCAATCGCAGCATACACATTGTCAAACCTGCAGAGATTCATGATCAACTTGTCCAACTCCGCTCCGTCTGGTGTTTGATCTACCGAAAATAAACACTTCCTTGCATTTTCAGCAAATCCTAAACTGTAAACAGGGGAATAATTTAAATTCAAAATCAGGGGCAGTGAGGGGCCAAAAAAAAAAAAAGAAACTTACAATACTAACAATGATCCTATACGCTGGTGTGCTCGTGGAGCTAATTCTTCACATTCTTTCAATGCTTCCGGTATTGGATTTAGACCCATTAACGACCGCAGCTCGATTACAATGCAATCTTCCATCGCCCGGAGAAATTGCTATAGCTTTGTCATAAAAATACAATTCTTCTAAAAAATTACCTTTCGATTTCAATTCTTCCGAATTAATCTTCCAATTGGATTCCGGTGTATCACTACCGGAAACCTGACGAGTTTTCAGAGTAGCTCCAGAAGGCATTATGCTCCCGTACCCATACATTTCGGGTATCATCTCATTGTATACCATTGATAAGGTCATAATGGACATCCACAAAAATTGTTTAGCCAAAAACAAGTTTGGATATTGTATCACCAAAAGTCTATGGACTATAACACAAGAAAATTAGTAAATTTGGTTTTTAACCAATGGGGCTCGTTTGAAGTTGAAAAAAATCCGTATGTATGCTTGTCGGAACCAACTCACGCCATTCATAAAGTCCTAATAGACGTTTTTGAAATTTTGTGGCCAAAGATATGTTGGGATTACGTATCACCAAAAATCCATGACCTATAGAATATGAAATTCATTAAATCTAGATTTTCCTGCATTGGGCTTGTTTAAACTTGAAAATGCGTCTTTTTGCCCCTAGGACAAATCCACGCCATTAATAAAGTCATAGCGGATGTCTATGAGAATTTTTGCCAAAAATAAGTCGGGATCACGTATCACCAAAAATTTATGGACTATCACAAAAATCGATAAATTTGTTTTTTTTCCATATTTGGGCTCGTTTGTATTTAAAAATGCGTTTATTTTCCCCTCGCAACCAACTCACTCCATTAATAAGATCATAATTAACCCCCGTAAAAACATTTCGACAAAAAACAAGTTGAGATCACATATCACCAAAAATCCATGAACTAGCACATGAAAATCGGAAAATTTCATTTTTCCCGCATTAGGAATCGTTTGAACTTGAAAATACATCTGTTTTCTCCTAATGACAAACTCACCCCATTTAAAAGGTCGTATTGGACGTTCATTAAATTTTTTGGCAAAAAACAACTCGGGATCACGTATAATAAAAAAATTAATGGACTATAGCAAATTAAAATCTATAAATTTGGTTTTCCCCGCAATGGGTTCTTTTGAAATTGAAAATGCAGCAGTTTTCTCCTCAGAACCAACTAAGCCACTATTAGATCGTAGCGGACGTCCATGAAATTTTTAGCCAAAAACAAGTCAAGATCATGCATCACCAGAAGTTCATTTACTATAGAACATGAAAATAAGTAAATTTAGTTCTTAGCGCATTGGAGCTCATTTGAAGTTGAAAATGCATCTGATTGCCCCTAGGAACCAACTTATGCCTTCATAGTCGTATTAGATATCCATGCAATTTTTTTGCCAAAGACAAGTTGGAATCAGATATCACTAAAAATCCATGGCCTATAGAATATGAAATTTCGTAAATTTGGTTTTTCTCATACTGGAGTTAGTTTGAACTGAAAATGTGTCATTGTGCCCTGCAGGACAAACTCATGCAATTTATAAAGTCATAACGGATGTCTGAAATTTTTTGGCCAAAAACAAGTTGGGATCACTTATCACCAAAAATTCATGGCTTATAACATAGGAAAATCAGTAAAAAAATTCGCGTTGGGTCTCGATTGAACTTTAAGTGCATCAATTTTTCCCTTTGAACCAATTCACACCATTGATAAGGTCATAATGGACGTCCTTGAAAATTTTGGCCAAGAACAAGTCGGGATCACGTATCACCGAAATTCTATGGGCTATAGTACACGAAAATCGCTAAATTTGGTTTTTCAACTAGAAAATGAGTTCATTGGCCCCTCGAACCAACTCACGCCATTAATAAGGTCATAACAGATTTCCATGTAAAATTTCAGCCAAAAACAATTCAGGATTACATATCACCATAAAACAATGGACATAACACATGAAAATCGGCAATTTTTGTTTTCCCGCATTGGGCTTGTTGTTTGTTTGCCTCTCCGAACAAACCTAGGCCATTAAATAAGGTCATAATGGACATCTATGAAAATTTTTGATAAAAAACAAGTCGGGATCACGTATCACCGAAAATCCAAGGTCTCTCGTGTTCATAAGACAATCTTTTATTTTTAAGTTATCATTTGGTTTATTTATTTTTATTCATATTCATTTATTACCAACACTTTTACTAATGTCTTTACAAGTACCCCGAGGTGCTCCTTAGCTATTCGAATTAGGTTCGAATATTACTCTTATTCATTATTGTATATTATTGACGGTAGGCAAATTTAGGCCGATTTCTATATTATTGTTTTATAATATTACTTGTGTATACATGTTTATTATATTTGTACCTTATTTTATTCACCTCCTCAATTTGAAAAAAATGAACTCAGTTGGGAACCACAATTGTGGATTTCGAATGGTGTCTAACCACTTCCCTTCGAAATAACTTGAACCCCATACTTAGAATCAATTGATTTCGCAGACTTTCTTTTAAGTTAATTGGTTTCCTAGTTTTCCTAAAAAATTAGGTGGCGACTCCCTTTTTCCTTTAAACCCCTTTAACCTTTTTATCCTTTAAAAATTCTTTTAACAATTTTTTAATTAAATCGCCGCGACGTTACCCCCGTTCAAAGGGTGTCAACAGGACCAATTCACATTAATAAGGGTCTCATTGAAAGCCCACAAAAAAATTTCGGACAAGAATTGTCGAGATCAGTTATTACCCAAAATTCATGGACTAAAAAAAGATAAATTTAGTCATTCCCACTCTGGGCTTCATTTGAAGTTGAAAATGCAGATGTTTGCCCCTTGCGATCAACTCATGCTATTAATAAGGTCGTAAGACACCCACAAGAAATTTCGATAAAAAATAAGTCAAAATCACGTATCATAAAAAAATCCATGGACTATAGCTTGCAAAATCAATTAGTTCAATTTTTCCGCTTTGGGGATCGTTTGAACTTGAAAATGTGTCTGTTTGCCCATTTGGACCAACTCATTTAATTAATATGGTTGTAACAAACGTCCATGAAAATTGTTGGCCAAAAACAAGTTGAGATCACATATCAATAAACATTCGTGGACTATTGAACACGAAAATCACTAAAAAAAATTTGTGAACATGAAAATACCGACATTTATCCCTTGGAACAAACACACACCATTTAATAGGTCGTCAAAGACGCCCACAAAAAAAAATAGCCAAAAAACTGTCGAGCACACATAGCACCCTAAATTCATGGACTATAACACATGAAAAATAGAAAAAATTCATATTTCCGGTTCTGAGCCCCATTTGATCCCAAAATACTGATGCTTTCCCCTTTGAACTAATGCACGCCATTTAATAGGTCGTTGCGGACATCCACCAAAAGTTAGTTTTTATCTATGAAACAAGAGTTGAGAATATTACAAAATTTCAAGTTTTAAGTAATTTGTACACAATCACTGGTAGTGTGTCTTTCTCTTATTTTGAGGGTCGGACCATAGAGTAACACGGTGAATACGTATACGTCGAAGAAGACATAGTAGACTTGATCATCGACAACAAGTAATTCCACAGGTCGCATAACGTATTCTCCATTTGAAACACGAAGAAACAAGACAAAGGAATAGGGAAAAATGACAACTTTTATTAACCAGATATGTTTATCTAAATCGAATTAGCACATTTACTTTCTCTTCTTTCTAACTCTTCAGCTATATATTGCCGCAAAATAACTAATGCTAAGAATATCAAAAAGGTACGAATGGAAGGAGTATCGGAAATGGGGAATGAATGAACGAGGGTAAAAACGGAGACTAGACTTTCCCTCTGTAGACCACGAACAACCATATGGTATATGTAAAATCCTTTCTAGATGGGACATAAGAGGGTGTCCCTAATCGAGAACTCCAACAAATCTGGAGTTGCGGTAACCATATCCACCTTACAACTGCCGTCCTTGTAAAGCTTAAATGTAGATGCTACTGTAATATTCTCTGCTGTAGCGATTGCTGGGCTCTGTTTCATGTCCACCTTCAGTAGAAAACAGATAAATTAGTACGAGTTTTCTTCATTGTATGAAATATAATAGCGGCGTAGAGTCTAGGTGTTCCTGTCTGCCTGAAAAGCACGACGTGTTGACTTTGATTGTTTACCTTGAGAAAAATTACTGAATGATATTTGGCGCTCAAGGTACCCATGACGTAGGACTTCCACGTGCATAGTGGATCGGATAATTCATGAAAATAGACCACAGATGCACCTACAGTAGTTGTTGAGTTATATAGTAAATGATATAAGGAAGAGGTTAACATACTGACTGATGCAGGAAAGCCTACCAGATGCAATCGCAGCCCGGAACTTGTCAACATCTGAAACCAACTCCACCATGCCATTACCTTCTCTGTGTGACTTCGTTAATTCAGCTCGGGCATGGGATAAATTTTCAGCAACCTCTTCGCTACTTGGAAGTTCCTGCCACAGAATCTCATAATCTCTCACAGCGTCAGCCCATCTTCCCAGCTATAATGCATTGCATACGATCAAATTTATGATTTTTGCAGAAAAAGTAAAAAGAAAAAATTACGTACGATTTAAAGGTGGCATGGCATGTCACCTTGATATTTGAGGCAGCTTTTCGTAAAAGAGCTTTAGTATGTTGTGGCCGGATAAGGAGAGCACGGTTGCAATCATCCAAAGATTTTTCCCACTTTTTAAGTTTATACCAGCAAGCTGCTCTATTGCAGTAGAGAATCGGATCCAAAGAATCACACGAAAGCCCTTCACCGTAAGCACTACAAGCTTCTATATATCTTCCAGATTTAAATAACTCGTTTCCAAGAGAACGAGCTCGCCCCACCAACCTCATGTTTTTTAGTAAACCAATAACTTCACTACTTTGAAGATCAACTTGTGCAGCTCTTTCAATCGCAGCACACGCATTATCAAACCTGCAGATATTCATGATTGGTTCGGTTAACTCGTACTATGACTTTTTATTATTATAAATAAACTCACTTTCCAAGAGTGTTCTCGATCTGAGCTTGGACAAATAATATGTATGCTTCAGATATCATCCCGAAATTTTTTGACTTGTATGCTCTCGCAGATGCCTCATACATCTTAGCTTTATACATCCACAATTCAGCATCCGTTAATTGATGTAGCTTCAAATGAGCTTCCGCTTGACACGCAAATAGCTGTATCATCAATTCAATATCAGAACCAACATTTCATCTCATCCGGCCACAACGTGATTGATTAATTACCTGAGCAGACGCCTCAGCTCCACGACTAGTTGCTGCTTCAGCTTCTTTTAACACACTCGTCCATTCTCCAAGTCTCCGAGCCTCAGTGCATTTATTGATATGGTTCTCTACTGTTTCCAACTTGTGCAACTCTGCTTCGTCTGGTATCTGATTTAGCGAAAATAAACACTTCCTTGCATTTTCAACATGTCCTAAACTGTAAACAATACGAATAATTCAAATTTCAAAATCAGGGGCAGAGCGAAAAAAAGAAAAAAAAAAAGAAAACTTACCTAAGTAACAATGATCCTAATCGCTGGTGTGCTCGAACATATGCTGGAGCTAATCTAATGGCTTCTTCACATTCTTTCAATGCTTCCGGCATTCGCTTAAGACCCATCAATGCAGCAGCTCGATTACAACGCAATCTTCCATCACTCGGAGAAATTGCTATAGCTTTGTCATAAAAATATAATGCTTCTAAAAAATTACCCTTCTTGTAATTCTCATTACCTTTCGCTTTCAATTCTTCCGAATTAATTTTCAAACTGGATTCCGGCGTATCACTACTGGAAACCCCACAGGTTCTCCGAGTAGCTCCGGCAGGCATTATGCTCCCGTACCCATACATTCCCGGTATCATCTCATTATCACTTAACACAGTCCTAACTGGCTTACTACGCATCCCAGTTATCACCTTACCGGACGGGCAAATATTGCCAGCCGGAACTATTTCAACTCTAGATGAACTCGAACTTGAACCCGAACCCGAATTTCCAGTACCGGAAGAACTCACACTCTGACCTGATGAACCTGTAGTACTACAACTCATTCGGGTCCTCAACGTTGAACCCAGTTTGAGTATTCGAGGATCGTCATTTTTCATCCGATCAGCTAAAGGGGTAGAATTCATATCAGAATTTCGATTTTTTCTATATAATTCAACAATGTACATACAAGGTTTCAAATAGAAGATGAAAAAGTCTCTTTTATACTACATAGTGATGATTTTAATAGGAAAATAGTTAGCTTTTATATGGCTAGTATTTATTTTTTATTGTGACTTGTTCAAATCATATTTTTGTGAAATAGTTTTGAAGATTTCAAACTAGTATATCTCATCTAATTTGAGTATTTTTACAAACAAAACTTTAGCAAATTGTAAATACAACATATTAATATGTTTCAACATGAAAATGCGTTTGTTGTCCCTCGAGACCAACTCACGTCGTTAATAAGGTCGTAACATATGTTTATGAAATTTTTTTGACCAAAAATAAGTCGGGACTGTATCTCCAGAAATTCATGAGCTATAGCACACGAAGATTGGTAAATTTGTTTTATCTACGTTGGGGCTCATTTGAACTTGAAAATGCATTCGTTTTCCCCTCAGAAACAACTCACGTCATTAATAAGGTCATTACGCACGTCCATGAAAAATTCGAGCCAAAAATTAATAGGGATCATGTATCACAAAAAATTTCTGGACTATATATAACACAAAAATAGATAAAAATTGGTTTTTAGTGTTTTGAGGCTCGTTTGAACTTGAAAATGCATCTTCTTGCCCCTCAAGACCAACTCACGCCATTAGTAAGGTCGTATTTGACTTCCATGAAATTTTTGACTAAAAAGAAGTCAGGATCACGTATCACTAAAAATTCATAGACTACATGAAAATCAATAAATTTGGTTTTTAGCTCTTTGGAGCTCGTTTGAACTTAAAAATGCGTCGTAACAGATGTCCATAGGAAATTGCGGTGAAAAATAAATCGGGATCACGTTTTACCAAAAATCCATAGACTATAGCACACGAAAATCGATAAATTTAGTTTTTTTCCCCTTTGGGGCCCGCTTGAATAATGCGTCCATTTTCCCCTCGGGACCAACTCAAGCCATTAATAAGATCGTAATTGACTTTCATGAAAAAATTGGCCAAAAACAAGTCGGGACCACGTATTACCAAAAATCCATGAACTAGCACAAGAAACTCAAAAAAATTGGTTTTTCCTGCATTAGGACTCGTTTCTACTTGAAAATACGTCTGTTTTTCCCTCGGGACGAACTCACACATTTAATAATGCCATAGCGGACGACTTTGAAGAATAACAACCTAAAATAAGTCCGGATCATGTATCACCAATAATTCATGGACTGTAACACACAAAAATCGATAAATTTAATTTTCCCCTGTTGGGGCTCATTTGAGCTTGAAGCTACAAAAGTTTGCCCCTCGGGACAAACTCACGCAATTAGTAAGAGTCGTAGCAGACGTGTATGAAAATTTCAGCCAAAACTTAGTTGGAATCACGTATCACCAAAAATGAGTATGTTTTACCCGCAGGAAAAAGTCACATTATTAATAAGGCCTTAACAGGCGTTCATAAGAAATTTCAACCAAAAAAAAAGAATTCATGATCACGTATCACCAAAAATCAATGGACTGTAGTACATAAAAATTGATAAATACCATTTTTCCCGCATTAGGGATCGTTTGAACTTGAAAATGCATTTGGTTTCAACTCAAACCAACTCACGTCATTAATAAGGTCGTAACATGTGTCCATGAAAATTTAAAAAAAAACAAGTCGGGATCACGTATCATCAAGAATTCATTGACTAAAGCACACGAAAATCAATTTATTTAGATTTTACTTGTTTGGGTTCGTTTAAACATGAAATGTGTGTGTATTACCCTCAAGACGTACTCATTTCCAAAAATAAAGTCATAATGGACGTCCATAAAAATCTTTGGCTAAAAACAATTCGATATCATATATCACCAAAAATTAGTGAACTATTTTCCCCCATTAAGGCTCATTTGAAATTGAAAATGAATTTTTTTACCCCTCGGGACCAACTCGCGCCATTAATAAGGTTGTAACACACGTCTATGAAAAATTTTGACCAATAAAAAGTCGAGATCATGTATCACAAAAAATATGTGGAAAATTGCATAAGAAAATCGATAAATTCAGTTTTTCCTGCATTGGGGCTCGTTTGAACTTGAAAATGCATTTGCTTGTCCCTTGAGACCAACTCACAGTACAAATAAGGTTGTAATAGACGTCCATGAAAAAGTATGGCAAAAAACAAGTCAGGATCATATATAACTAAATATCCATGGACTATTGCACACGAAAATGGATAAATTTGGTTTTTCCTGCAATAGGGCTTATTTGAACTTGGAAATGCGTATGTTTGCCTCTCAAAACAAACTCACACCATTATTAAAGTCGTAATGGATGTCTATGAAAACTTTCGACCAAAAATAAATCGAGATCATGTTTTACCGAAAATTCGTGGAATATAGCACACGAAAATTGATAAATTTGGTTTTTGCCGAATTAGGGCTCGATTAAAATTGAAATGCATCTATTTTACCTTAGACCAAATCGAACAATTTATATGGTCATAATGTACGTCCATAAAAAATTTCGGCCAAAACAAGTCGAGATCATGCATCACCAAAAAATCATTGACTACACTACATGAAAATTGGTAATTTGGTTTTTTTCCCTATTGGAGCTCGTTTGAACTTGAAAATGCATATTTTTCCACTCTGAATCAACTGACGCCATTAATAAGGTTGTAAAGGATGTCCATGAAAATGTTTGGCCGAAAACAAGTCGAGATCACATATCACAAAAAATGCATGGACTATATAGCATATGAAAATTGGTAGATTTGGTTTGTACCTCTTTAAGGCTATCTTGAACTTGAAATTATTTTTTTTCCAACGAGATCAACTCACTCCATTAATAAGGCCGTAATGAACATCTATAAAAAAGTTCAATAAAAAACAAGTCGAGATCATGTTTCACCATGAATCCATAAATTATAGTGCACAAAAATTGATAAATTTGGTTTATCTTGCAAAGAGGCTCGGTTGAGATTGAAAATGAGTGTGTTCAGAGGCGGATCTAGGATTTGGAGGCCGTGGGTGCCGCATTATTCAAGTGAGATAAGCGGGTCGGTTGCTTTAATTTTGGGTTATAATCGAGTTATTTTTTATTTTTTATTTTTTATAAACAAATCGATTAAACATGCATGTTGCTAATATTATTTTTCAGATATATGAGATTAGAGTTAACTAAACAATTCAATTTTTATTTCTTTTTAGGAATGAGGGCCTTATTCACTGAAACTTTGAGGAATAAGGAATAAAAGAGATTTTTCACATTAAAATTTGAGTTTGTATAAACTATCTAATAGAGTTAACTTAATATATTCGTGTGTTGTTGCAAATATATAACAAAGAGAATACAAAATTTAGTCAATCTCATCCTACTTAGCAAGAACGTTGGTTAAGATCAAAAGAACCTTTATATTAAAAGAATTATAATAATATTCATCGTTTTTAAAACTTATGTTTCTTAAAATTACTATTTAAATGTATTCTTAATAATATTTGATAATTCACTAATAATTAATTGATAAATATAAACACACGACACTCATATTATGAGATCTTTAATTAGTGAAAGAGAAAGTAAAAGAACTTAAGAATTAATTATGGTGAATAAGATTCATTAATAGGCAAGGTTCGAACTTGCTGCTTGGGTGGCAAACTGCCTGATTTGGCAATCGGACTATTCACCATATACTTCAGTGGGTGGCAAAGACAGTATATAATTAGTTTCTTACACATATATACATATATATACGAAATTTTTTCCGAGATCAGTGGGTGTCGTGGCACCCCCACGGTTACCTATAGATCCGCCACTGAGTGTGTTTACCCTCGGGACAAACTCAGACCATTAATATGGTCATACCAGACGCCCATGAATAACTTTGGTAAAAAACAAGTCGGGATCATGTATGGACTATAGCTAACAAAATCGCTAAATTTTGTTTTTCCCGCATTAGGGCTCGTTTAAACTTGAGTATGCGTCTGTCTACCATCGAGACCAACTCTCGCCATTAATTAGGTCGTAATAGACGCCCATGAAAAATTTCGGCCAAAACAAGTTGATATTATGAATCACCAGAATTCCATTGACTATATAATGAAAATCTAATAAATTTGAATTTTTTCGCTTTGGGCTTGTTTGAACTTGAAAATGCGTTCGTTTTCCCCTTAAAAAAAAACTCACACCATTAATAAGGTCGTAACAGACGTCCATGAAAAACTCTGACCAAAAATTAGTCGGGATCACATATCACAAAAAAATCATGGATTGTAACCCAAATATTAGATAAATTTGGTTTTAGCGTTTTGAGGCTCGTTTGAACTTAAAAATGGATATTTTTGTCCTTCGGAAACAACTCACGCCATTAATAAGGTTGTAATGGACTTCCATGAAAATATTTTGCCAAAAAAAGTCAGGATCATGTATCACCAAAAATCCATAGACTACACGGAAGTCGGTAAATTTAGTTTTTAGTGCTTTGAGGCTTGTTTGAACTTGGAAATGTGTCTCTTTGCCCCTCGGGACTAATTCACGCCATTAATAAGGTCGTACAAATGTCCACGAAAAATTGTGGTGAAAAATAAATCGGAATCATGTTTCACCAAAAATACATAGTCTATAGCACACGAAAATCGATAAATTTAATTTTTTCCTCATTGGGGCTCGTTTGAATAATGCGTCAAATTTTCCCCTCTGGGCCAACTCTCGCCAAACAAGATAGCAACTGAATTTTATGAAAAAATTTGGCAAAAAAAGAAGTCGGAATTCCGTATCGTCAAAAATTCATAGACTATAGCACATGAAAATTGATAAATTTAGTTTTTCCCCCATTGAGACTCGTTTGAACTTTTAAATTCATCTATTTTTTTCTCCGGACCAACTCACGCCACTAATTATGTCATAAGACGTCCATGAAAATTTTAGGTCAAAACTAATTCAGGGTCACGTATCACAAATAAATCATTGACAATAGCATACAAAAATGGTAAATTTAGTTTTTTCCATATTGGAGCTTGTTTGAACTTGAAAATTCGTTTT